GGCGAACCTTCGACGTTTTTGCAACTAAAATATCGAGGTAAGGAGGCGGTACGCACGCTGCGCAGAGTGCACACGATGTTCTCTCTTATATCGGAGGAAAGGGGGAGTGTCCTTTGTCTAGCCTCGTAGAATAATAGCCCGATGTACGACAAAATAACGAAATCACGCGTGTCCAAGGCAAGTACACACAAAGCAAAAATTTTGCATAGCTTTCTGTATGTGTGCGCGGCGGGGGGAGGGATAAGCATATTGATGTCAGCGCCGCCACACGCTAGACATCTTCGGGGTGGCAGCGGTGGCCGACCGGTTTACGAGATCCTTCTTTGTTGACTTATTATACCTACGTCTCGAGCTGTCGAGGTAGCCGCGACGCTTTTCCACTTTGTCAGCCTCAACGCTTGTGCAACAACCTGCATCTCTTGGCTAGTGAACACTCGCCTCTTTCGCAAGTCCCCTGGACTGACTTTTTTCGCTCCCTCCCTTTCTCTCTCTCTCTCTCTCTCTCTCTCTCTCTCTATGCTGGTCTCGGGCACACACGGCTGGCGTCCGCAACCGCCTAGATAAAGACGGCCGACGGAGAGGAAGCATGCCGCACACGTACGTATACATCGTGAACGCGGGCGCGCGCGTCGTCGCGGTGAGAGTGCGTGCGCCGTCACTGCCACCGCCGTCACCGCCACCGCCGTCCAAGAGGAGAAGAGGCTCAGTTAACACGAGGCCCGTGGTCGGGCTGTATCGCCGTGCGGACTTTCTCCAACCTCGTCTTCGTCGTCTTCGTCTTCGCTTGATCCAAGATCGAAGCGGCGACGAAGGCGGCGGTGACTGCGCGACCGCCCCCAGGTACATTGTGTAGACAGACGGAGCTCGTTAACATCTTCGGTCGTGCGCGAGTGAATGTGTGCCGTGTGTGCGTGCACCTTGAAGTCGTCACGTGCGCGGGAGAGCTCGGTGAAATTGCGAGGACGGTGCTATATAACTCGCTGATCGATAGCTGCTCACAACACTTTCTCTCCCTTCCTCCAGCTCATGCTCTAGGTATTATTGCCGGTCCTGTGATGCGAACAAACAATAAACCCGGTCCCTATATTTCAATCTCTATAACCACCCCCGCCCCCACCCCCCTCTCTGTCCCATTGTGTGTGTGCGCGCGTGCACTTGCTTATGCGTACGGGCGTACCAGTGTGCGAGCGGGTCTCGACCGGATGAGCCGCGCGTGGTTAATCGTCACTGGAATGCAGATAAACGGGAGCCGGCCGCGCATTCGTGAGAGAATCCCGTTGCGCGCTGCTTCGTCTCTGATAACGCCGCGCACTTTCGCTCTTTTATCAGCGCTGGTGGAGACTTTCATTCATTCGGGCATTCCTCAGGCCGCTCGTCTCCTACTATACATCCCCTGTTCCCTCCCCTTCGCCGAGCGCCACCTGGCCACACTAAAAAAGAAGCACCGTCGCATTAACGCGCAATCCCTCCGATTGCGTGGGATCCGCACGGATACGCACTGTGGGACACCATCAAGGAGATCCACTCGCTCTCCGCCATGGCACGCCCCTCGCGTTCCGTACGGCTATATAAGAATAAAAAGTACGAACCTACGGCTAGCCACCGCCTCTCCATCCATATTGCGGTCTCTCACTCTCACTCACTCTGCTCTCCTCTCCTCTCCTCTCCTCTGCTCCGCTCTGTTTTGCACTATCTATGGATCACCGTGCGTTCGCGATCGATGCTCAGGAATCTCGTCTTTGATATTCCCAAAACTTGTGTTAGAAAATTATCGCTGATTTTTCATAAACTTAATTTGTGTCTAAATTTGTCACAAACTTAATAAATTCCTTCATTTACATTAGCACTTTAGATAATACATATAAAACGTGTGCTGAAATCCTTGTATTCTTGCAAAAATGGCTGACATTGTAGTTTGCTTTATATCAGTAAAACAGAGAAATACATAAGTGAGAATTCCAGATATATATATATATATATATATATATATATATATATATATATATATATATATATATATATGGGGGGGGGGGGGGAGACAATAACTACGAATAATAGGTTTCTTTATAACAAAAACAAAGTGATTATAAATTCCATGTTTAGTGTTTTATTTCTTCAATATATATATATTTTTTTCTCGGTATTTTACAATTTGCAGGCACTAACCAAACCCTTAGAACACATAAAATATAATAGGAGAAAAAAAAATCAAGATTTTCACAATTGTAAAAAGAATTTGTAAAAAAAGTAAAATATTTAAAACTATTTATTGATGAAAATCCTCAGATTGCATAGGACTTAACTAATTTTTCAAATTATCTCTTTGTTTTTAATATACGTCATCAGGAATTGGATTTTCAAGAATATTTAGAATATTTTAAGTTTGAATCAATTAATTTAGATAGACATCCATGCATAGCTCAAACGCAACTTATTAATAAAATAAGCTATTAATTTGGATTAAATATTATTACTCGATAAAGTATCAAAACGGTAGATATTCAGAAAATTTATTTACATCTCATTACGAGCCATGAAAAATGTAAAAGACAAAGATACTTCAACGTCTCGAAGCGAGTATGAGAGGAGGAAGCCTTATTAATTTTTTAGGTTACCGCTTGCGATAGAGTCTTGTAATTCTTGGAAAGCCATTTTCAAGAAAATTGGTCGGCCCATGAATTATGATTTTTAGGGAAATTTTGTTGGATGGTGGGATGTGGAAAAGCCTTGATTTTTTGTTGCAACTCAGGTGTGAAAGTTAGAACAATAGAGCAATTGACAGTCGAGATTCTGAAAAAAAAAATAATAAAATAATAATGGAATTGGCGCATTTTCAATGACATGGTAGCAAAAGTTTGATAATCATATATAATGTCATTATATTTTTTGTCCCTTTTTTTCACATTCTATTTGTACTCTCCGTATCCTATCCCATGCACTTCATTGCTTTGAATTACGACTTTAGCCTTAGATTTTCCATCGCTAGTGCCGCGGGAAAATTCTTTTTCCTTTCTATTTGCTAGCGTAATATCACTGCGGCCCGAGCACATAAAGCAGCGACTTTTAGCCTCGTTAACTACAATTCATTCTTCCGCCCCCGCGCTACTACGTCTCTTCGTTGCAACGCATCGTTCCGGCTTCGGCAAAGTTCATCGCGTCCGCTGCCGATTGCAGAAAAGTACGCGAGTAATCACGTAATGTCATGTCAGGGGGAAAACAAGGCCCGGCGGAAAGGCGACGGAGAAAGCAGTCGCGGAGTCCGATTACGATCATCGACAAATGAGGGGGATAGGCTAGACGCATGTTTCTCTTTGGCATTTTAATGCTAATGCCATTACCATCGTAGACGAATAGGCGATGACGAGAATCACGATCTCTTTCAATAGCCCACCAAGTTATTCCGCCCGCTTAATATGCTTATTGTGCCGTAAGGTGCTAACTTTCTTTTGTGCATATCGGATGAAAATATATTTCGCCGATAAAATCACCTTCTTCATAGATACTACGAGTTATTTCTTGGTATATTACGATTAAGATACTGACAGTCAGTCTCCAGCCAGATATTTCAACGTTAATTGAGCGAGTATAGGAAGTGCTTGAAACCGGGCCACAACCAAGCGTTGCGCAAACGGAAATAAATATTTTCTCGTAGTTGTGATTAGGAGGGATAATAAGGGATAGATAGTACATTATCATAGGACAATTCGCGAGTATACACGAGCGTGTAGAATTTTTGCAACTCGGCCAAGCTCGCGTTAACGTACAAAAGTAAAATATTTAAACGTACGAGCTCCCATTAGTTGACTTAAACTCATTCTTTAATAGTTATGCCGTGCCACGCTTTCAAATAAAAATCTGACCTAACAAATAGTATTATTCTTTAATTTTCCACGTCCGCCTTCCACTTCCTTTCTCATCTTAAATGCCTTTTTAACGTGTAGCATCGCGCGCGCACGCGCTATGAATCTCCCTTTGTTTAGCTAATATTTTAGAATAATGAATATATCTGTGTTGTTAGTATTATAACATAAGATGTTATTAATTATAACATAAAATCAGGTTGCAAAAAATTATATTCAAACATAACCAGTCAGTTTGATGATATTCCAATTATGAATTTGACTCTATGATTTCGAATAATTACATTTCTTTTTAATCAACTGACAAGTTTAATAAGAATCTACGGTTAATGTGTAATTCGTGATATCGTTTTCATAGTTCTTAAATAATTCATCGGTTGGAAACATTTAGAATCCACAAGATCATGGTAGTACATGTAAATTACAATTTCACAAATCGAAAACATCTACGAATATTAATATTCAATAATATTACAATAATGTTAGGATCTTACGTGGCAATGCAACATATAATTTATAATGATATTTGATTTATTATAGTGTGTAGACGTAAGATTAGAAACCTGTTAAACACTTGCGTAAGAATAGTGAAAGGTGCTGTACGTAAGTGTTAATAATCAAATTTTTTCATTTCTACTTACTATCAGACTTTCCGAGGCTTTTATGCATCGTGAAATAGCTATCGACAACAACAAACAATAACGATTTGACTTGCATCGATAAAAATTGTTGCACCAATATTAATAAAGCTAAACAATAAGCAAGATCTTAACGTCTTAGATCGTAAGATCGTAGTAGGAAGTTTCAAGTCGTATTACCTCACAAAGTACACAAAAATAAAGAGAAACAAAGCGGGAAAATTTGCGAAAGCGTACGAAACAATTCGCAGAATTACTCGCGATGAGAAACACGCGCATACGATTTGGATGAACGAGCTCACGATTGACGCTCGTACACCGTATGTGCACCCAGTGTTCGTAACCGCTCGTTCTCTCTTTCTTTCCCAGTGTCGGCAACTGAAAGGAAAAGAGAACGAGCGAGCGAGCGAGCGATCAGCCAGAGGGGGGATGGCGTGGAATTAAGGAAGCCTGGAGAGGGAGATGGAGAGAGAGAGAGTGTGTGTATGAGAGAGAGAGAGAGAGAGAGAGAGAGGAAAAAGACAGAGCTAGTATTAGCAGCTGCTCTACGACCTCTGCGACTAGACGAGGCGGCAACAAAGACAACGTATCGACGACGCTGGACTAGCAGTAGACAACTGTGACACGACTATTCTACCTTCGCTCGCGATAGTGCAGCATTGGCAGTGCGCGCGCGTACCTCGGGCTATTCGCTCGATGCGGCTTGCCGAGCGCCGCCGAGGCTCGGTTACTGCTCCTCCTGGTCAAGTGCCCCGTTAACCACCCGTAGTAGCCCTTAACGTAGCCAAAAGCAGCTACGTCATCAATATTGCGGGCAAAAGCGGTGGGTCCCCGGACCCCGGTCACGGCTCCATTACGGATTTCCTCAGGCGCTCGTTCCGGCGCTCCGGCAGGATCGGACCCCACGGCCAACGTCGTGCCGCGACTATGTACGTCGTCGAAGCGCCGAGCTCGAAGATAGTCGTTGGTTCCTGCCAGCAGCAGTCGACGCAGCCCCGACTCTCAAATTACTCCGGCAACCAGCACCACCGTCACCACAACCATCATCACAATCACCACCACAATCATCACCAGCACCAGGAGGGCCGTACGCGCCGACTCGACCCCAACGGCAACTACGGCAAGCCCAAAAACATCAACGGCATCAATAACATTAACAATACCAACAACAACAACAACAACAACAGCAGTAGTGGTAATCGAACGGACTCGCCGGGGCCCGATCGAGGCAGCTCCGGGGGCAGTGCGCACATCGCCGCAACCGTAAAGAACACGGTGCGCCGACTCCTCAGGCGCACCAAAAGTCACCGCGAGGGCCCGACCGTCGCAGCGACGACAACGACAACGACAACGACAACGACAACGACGACGACCCCAAGTCCCGTGACACAGTCGCGGGTCGGGCCCACTCTTCCCCAAGCCGTCGGCGTACCCTCGACTCCGAGGAAATCGGAGCCCCGGAGGGCAGCGAGACTGGCTCCAACGAGGGAGTCCGTGAGGGAGGGCCCGCGATACGCGAGGACCAAACTGCACCACCAGGTAAGGCCGGCGGCCATTCGCTGCCGTCACTCGTATCAGTGGACAACCATCGTGTCGTCGCGCGCGATCCCATGACTGTGTACGCGTACGTAGGCGCATCTGCCACAACAAAATAATCAACGCGACGAACAAAGCTTCTCTCGCAATAAACTATAAAGAGACTATATATAAACCAGAACCGCTGCCCATTCGGCCAATCATCGTCATAAACTTTACTCCGCTCTTGTATTATACATGCTACTGTACCGAAGTATTACCTACCGCCCACGCCACTTACACGTGGCGATCAGCGGCAGGGACAGTCCAACGAGGGCAGCATCAACATCCTGTCGGTCCTGCCGCCCTCGCGCGCCTCTTCCCACCGAGCAACCACGACGAATGCACCGCACGTAGATATATCGATATTGTCGGTCGCTCCCTATTAGCAGCACTTCCCCTTCGTCTCCCGACTGCAAATCGAAGCTCGTCGACAATCAGGGTCTTTTACGGGCAACGGGGCACGAAAAAGCGCGATGCCCAGATCCAGTAATGATACCACTTGTAATTATTGATGCAATAGCAATTATTATTACTATAAGAGAGACAGGCCTGGCTTGCCAAGATACATTAAATGAGCGGAGCTCGTCGTCGTTGCCAATAAATGCAAGAGCGCCAGGAGCTCGAGCGGTTGTGCGACGATCGGCAGCGGGAAAAATAATATTAAGATAAACAGAGAGAAAAAGTTGAGGGCCGATTAAAGAGGGTCCTATGTTTCATATATTCGTCGGCCTCGTCGACTCCTCGACACGTGCGCGCGAGTTCGAATGGCGGCTGCGTGCAGGTGTCGGACGCTCGTCCCCTCCTCCTAACCCCTGGTGAACAATGAGAGCCGAGAGAGGAAAAGGAGGTGACTCGTATGCGTCACAGCTGATGATGAGCGGCTCAGGCTCGATCGCGTAGCCCCGTGGCTTTCCTGGAAAAGCGCCATGGCAGCGACACGACTAAGGTTGGAGCGGAGAGGAGACAAAGTGCGGGAAAACGGTAGGCGCGCACGAGCGGCCGCGAGAGGTCGAAGCGAAGATATTGCGACGACAAGGTCGCTGCGGCTCACGCACACGCTTCCTACCCGCGAATCCGCGCCGCGACTTTTTTCGCATGATTCATGCCAAAACGCCATTAAATCATCCTAGGTAAACAATTAATTAACAATGGAATTCCGTGAATTTTATCGTGAACATTTTTTTCTTGGCTCATTTTATCGATGCTTCTGCTAAGGCTACCATTGCCGATAATGCGAGTCGCTCCAATTCCTAACCTCCAGATAGAGCATCCTTGAAAATCCTCATTGTCACGAAGACGGCTATGACGACTATGACGACGACGACGACGACGACGACGACGACGACGACGACGACGTCGACGACTACGACGACTACGACGACTATGGCGACGAGTCATTAAATAGAGCTAGCTAGAGGTTCTCTTTGTTAGAAGGCCGGGGTGAGACGTTAAGTTGGCGCCGAAAGGAACTTTCGCCCGCCGATTACGAGAGAAATCGGCAAGGATACTCGAGTTTCTTGGTTATTATCGTTGAGTTCATTGCTTTGTAACTGCCGTAATGGAGGCGGCGTATATTCCATAATCTTGAGCTTGTCTCTGCGCCGATCGTTCGATCCATTTTTATTATTAGTTTTTGTATTCTATAATGTTTGCGAGCGCGCGAAGAGCTAATTATGCCGTATATATTATTCACTCCCGATGAATTGCAATTCTATTGCACGTCAATTTATGCATTGAAAACGATTATTGCGAGACTCTATTCAAATACGAGAATACGCATTTTTTTATGTTTTGATTATTTTTGCGATACCTGCGCACTCGACTCAATGGAAGTACGTAAGTTTTATTTGTTGATAGCTCGATTCAGATAAATTGATAAGCTTTGGAAAATTCTTCCTCCAAATGGATAGCTTAAATAATTCCATGTCCAAGTTTGTTTACACGATCGATGTTTATTACTTATATTATTGTACTTGTGACAATGCACGAGGCGAATTGTGCAAAAACCGTGCTGGTTAAACTGATATTAGCCGAGCCAAGAATGTACCGTCTTAAATCAAATTAAGCTAGCATTTACTGCAAATGATATGATGTTTCCTCGTATCACTCGATAGATCTTATTGTTTCATTGGCATAAGCAATAAAGACATTATTAGCGACCTAATAAGCTCGTCACTCGCGTCAAGCGCGTGTTTATCTGTTAGGGGGAAAAAAGTTGAGCCTACAAACAATTTTGATACAAATTTTGCGAAATTTATTGCGCAAGGAATTTTCATTTTCAAGATAAAGCAATTGTCCTGGGGACATGTAATGTAGAGCGATGCGTGCATTAAAATCGTTTCACTTGTTCGTGCATCATACGAAGGTAATATGTCATTGGAGCGTTTATAATTGAAATCTTTGGAAATCCTAGTTTCCTTTATCATTTACGTTCTATCATCTCAGCCTTCTATGAAATTGGAGAGCAGGAGAGCATGGCCTTGATTAAAATAATGATCCAATACGTTTTAGTAATTAATTTTTAAGTGTCGTAATATAATTTTATTATTTTGTAGATAGCTTAACATAATGCCGGAATTATGAAGTTGGTCAAAGTAAACCATCACATTGAACAAAATAGAATTTTGAATAATTTTAATGATAGTAACCGAGGATTATTATGAAGCCAGAGCAATATACCGACAATAGCATCAGCTTCGAGAATAAGATGCTTTATCATATTATATTTTTTCATATAGATTTTATTTGATTTCTCGAATTGTCAAATTATGCTGCATGAATAATCAGACTATCTATTAATGAATATATTTAATATTTATGATGCTTATAGCCAGTCTTGTGTATTATTTAATATAATCGAGTGAATTATTAAGCAATAAGTTTTAACGTTAGCTTTAGAGGTAATGTTTACACGTATACGGGAAAAGGAATTTTAATGCTGAAAATTTAACGTAATGCTCGATCTTTGGGTATACGTGTATTTTATAATAGAGTAACACGATTATAATCAGCATTTAATAATATATTAAAATTTTGTGCAATGGTTTTATTGCAACGTGTATGGCTGCTACGCTTGGAGAATGTAAAACTAGGCGAGACTTCTCGGCAAACTATTAAATTTTAACATGAAATTTAAATTACCACCCCTTTTTGTAGAAAAAATTAAATAAAATAATTACATCGTTATTTTCGTTAGAGATATTTAATAGACTTCGAAGCAAAAAATGTATTTTCAATTAATACATCCTCGCAAAACTACAGCGAGCGCGCATACTCGCGCTGTATGCAAGGTTAATATGTAAAATGGCGAACTCAAGTTCGATAAAGTCATATTACCTAGAGCGTTTCCTCACATCTACACAACTAATAACCACAATATCTTTCACACACAAATACGCGTGAGCGAGCACATCACGTGCCTTAACGAAGTGAGAAAATTGCTTCGGAATGCGATACGCTATGCGTGCACATTTTGCAAGACATATCTGCAACGCATGTGCACATAGATATGCTAAGTTACTTGGAATAAAATTAATTTTTTTCGTATATCGAGAGATTTATGCGGGAATGAAAAACTTATCTGTTGATAAGTCTGTTAGAAAATTATAAAGTGAATCATCGAATCATAATGCGTTGCTTGCGTTACGAGAAGATTATCAACTATAGCGCTTATTAAATGCACTGCTAATTACAAATTTATGGATATACTTGAGCATCAAGTCCGTTTATATTTTTATTATATCAATATAATTAATTGGACCGGTAAAGCATTGGACGTTCGCCAGCTGTCCCTCGTGAATTTTGATGGAAATTTAAAAATCAATGTCGCATGAATCTAGGGAGACTATTGGATTTTGTATCTAATGGACTTTTTACTTACTAAGGGCGTTTAAAAAGCGGTTGGTATCAAGAATCTTATAAAATTAATACAAAATCATATAATGTTAAAAGCTATTATTCCTTATCGTTTGTAGCGTAATGTAATAACACTTCAAGTGTTAGTTATATAAATTTCAATGTCTGCTTGCGGGGACATTTATAGAACAATAAAAGTGAATTTCATATATTTCCCAAGAGTTGCGAGAGGACAATGTTTACTGAAAAATTTTCAACATTATACCAGATAATGTCAAATACCTTTAAATAGTTGTAAATATAATACATTCTCATTATTATATAACCATATATGCCTTTTGAATACAATGGCTTCTAATTTTTTAAAATAGATATATTTTTAACCACAAACAAAAATCAAATCTCTTGGGCTAATCAATACCGAGAATAAGACTTTCAAGCATTGATTCTCAGTGACGATGAGTCGGTAAATGAAATAATCACTTTTTAAATCTAATCTTCTTGAAAATTGCAATTGACAGACTTGCACGCGACTCTGATTCTTCAATCGAATTCTGGCGTTCAAAGTTTTTTCGATTCACCAAAACTTCGTGCGACATTCGGCCAATCCCAAAGATAAGCATTCAACAGATGCGATATTTACTCTTATTGTTTCTTTCTTTTATTCCGCGAAATATTTTATGATTACTAGCCGTTATCACGCATAATTGACTGCACAGGAAGATATTATGTTGAAACGTGGAACATTTTTTATCTACTTTTTAATCTAAGAAGAACCGAGCGAAAATCTTAGAGAACATTCTTTCATTGCGTGAATGTATTTTTGTCGATGTCATTCACTTTTTCCGTAAGGATTTTATATTTTTGCGTATGGTGTTCAATTAACATTTTTCTCACATCGTAAACATCGTCATTTAAGAGCACACAGACTTTTTTAAATAGAAAATATTTTCCTTATTTGTATATATCCTTATTGTTCAATGCATTGTTAGAGCGCAGTACATCTATATTAAATATTATCAATTTCTTCTGCACCTGAAGAAAGTACATAATTTTTAATTGCCATTATCTTCTATTATATAACAGGATATTATCTTTGACACATT